AGGAAATGCGCAAGGCAGTGGGAAAGATCATTGTACTCAGTATCTTTGTTCAAAGCCCAGTGGAAATTGTTCTCCACTGCAGCCCCTTGGTTCATGGTAATTTTCCAGCATGGGCTGATGTAGTAGCTGACATAATCTTTCTGTCTGATTGTTTGCTTTTCTCATGTCTCGGTAGCTCTACACTTAAGCTGCATTTTCCAAATGTGACTCTACTTTTGGCTCCTCCCAAAAGGCTTGACAACTAGGTCCCTGAAAGATATCAGATTGAATGTATCCCAATATACTGGTCACTTTTTGAAGTCTTGTCACAGATTATAAGAGAAAATGATCCTTTGGGGTACACTGCAAGGAATGCAAAGCTTCTTTAGTTTCCTTGGAAAATACCAGTCATAAAGCAAATCTGGATAACAGTCCTGCATCCGTTGAGGTCCATGTCAGCAGGATTATCTTTTTCTATTGACAGCAGCCTCAGGGCCCAAAGGAATATTACATCTCTTATGTTAAATGGTGATATACTTTTGAATAGGCATGTTTAGATTTCAGAAGTCAAGCTGCTCCAGCATTATCGTGTTGGGAAGAAAATATATAAGGGTTCTTGGGGAGGGTTGTAATAATCCTTTACTTGTTAAAATTGCAAGTGTGGTGGATAATGGTGAACTCAGTCCTGTTTCCTTGATACAGCCTTGTAATTCTACTTCTCATTTTACAGTAAAGATTACTTTCAGTGCAGTTGCACAGATATATATCCAGCAGGAAGTGATTCAGGACCATTTATTTCAATAGAACTTCTGATATGGAGTGTACAACCAGGCTTTGGCCACTAATGTCATTTCCATATCCCTTCCAGTGGTTAAAAATGTTGCACAACCACCTAATTAATCCAATATTTTGCACCATTTCAACAACAGTGACAAAATTGTCCCTGGCACTGGGGAGAAGGTGTAGTAAATCCATGCAAAAATTTGTTCATGCTACATTAAAATGTTAAAACTCTTGGTAGAACTTTGTCATTCTTCACTTGCGTAACCATTTATTCCTGCACATCGCCATCTATTGAACCATGTTTTCCTTCGCTTCATGCCTTCCCCTACATGCCAGCGCTAAAGAGGGAGGAAGAAAAGAATGTTAAAACAATCTGAGTCTGACAATGAACTGAGCTCCTGAATTTTGATTTTGGGCGCCTGAGGATGAATCCAATCTGAATGTTTAGATTAAAAGAAAGTATAATTGGTTGTGTTTTTATGCTAGACATGTGCACCTAATTTTTTTCCCCGCTGACTCAGTTTTCAGGTCTCTACATCCTTTCCTTCATCGTTATCATGGTGGGCTTTGTTCTTTATTGTTCTACTTCAACTTGGACTGCAGAAACCGTCTCTACCAGCTTGCCCCAACCAGCCAGTACTGGGCTAGATAACCTTGGACTAAAACTGGAGGAAGATGACCAGGAACCCCCTGCTGCAAGCGTCCAGGTCACTCAAGAAGAAAACGGGGTGGTAAATTCCAGTTAGAAAATCAGCAGTGTTTCAAGCAGAAGCCTCTCTACTGCCAGAATTTTCCCTCAGATATCAATATGGAGAACTGCCTGGTTGCGAAGAGTGTGTATCATGCTGCATTTGTTTTAATACTCTGAATGGACGTTAAGATATTTAAAAGCCAGATGTTCAATCAGAAAAGCAATATTGATTTACTCTAACAGAATATCTGTCCCTAAAAGAGAAACAGAAAAACATTTTAAGTGGAAAGTGCCTCTGGGAAGTGATAGAACTATGTATTCAGGAAGTTTGGTTAATTTAACAGCAAATGTTTGGGGAAAAAATGAAGCCAAAGCAAACTCTTAGGTCACTTGCTGGAGTAGGTATACGTTATTTTTCCTCAAGGGTGCTGAGTGTCTGCTTGTCCCATTCATATTAGTGTTGGTTGTCCTCAAAATCTTCTTTGAAAGAGACCCTTAGCACTTTCTGGGGTCTAGCAGTGCATGCAATAATACCTGCCAGTTGATGGAGGACTTCATCTCTCTCTTGGAGCTATTGGGCAATAGTACTAACCCCCCAGAAAAACATAAAGTGCATCTAACAGTGTAGTGGATGACATTTCTGCCTCCCCTTATTAACCCTTTCTCTGGAGCAACTGGTACTGGCCAGAAAATAAGACGCTTGTTTTGAAAAAAATAAGGTTTTACCATTTTGTTTTCATTCCACTTCAGAATGAAAATGAGACCTTTCCTCATTTTTCATAGGGTATCACATAGAGGAAGAGCGAAGCGCCCTGCAACACAGCTCCCAAAATACCCCATAGGCCATTTATTAGCTCAGTTGGAATGTCAGAGACATTTTCAGTGCTCCACTGTACCTGGATCCGGGCAAATTGGGGTAAGCGCTCTATTGAGGAACAGCACGGACTTGGAACCTCAAGCCTCTCTCAGAAAAATCCATTCTAGACCCAAGGAAAACCTTCCCAACTAAGTTGTTATTGAAATAGATATATTTATGCAAAAAGCTTTGCTCCTGACTAAACTGACAGCAAACATGTAGTTGGGAAATACCCAGCCAGCTCTTGTAACAACAGCTTTAGTTAATTGTTAATGACTTTTGCGAGACTAATTTGTATCTTTCCTACATACGTGCCATTTTTAAAAATTATTAACCAATGATTAAAAGTGATGTGCCACTCTATGAAACTGAAGCTTTGACATGGTTTATCTACTCCAGGGGCAGACCTTTAGCTGGTGCACATGTGATTAGCTCAGTTCAAGAGAGGGAAGTGACATGAATTTGCAATAGCTGAAGAGCTGGCTCTGAAGTTGTTTTTCCTGTTGGAATTTCACCTATTTTAAAGATCATTTTTTTTATAATTTTACTGACCAGACTTACTTTTAACCTCCAAGTTTTGCCTTAGATTTATCTAATAAGTAGCTGATTATCAAATGAAAAAATGTTTTTGTATTCTTGTAGTTTATTTAAGCAAAATGATTTCTAACCCAGTATTTTTTAGAAACCACAAAATAAATAGTCAAGATATATCAAGGTGACACTCTTAATTAGTCATGCACATGAGGATTAAAGAGCTGCAAACATTTTGTGAAAAGCTTTGGGACCCATTTTGTGCTGCCTTACATCATGTGTCATTTACATCTGTGCAGTGTGAATGCAAAATGTTGCCAAGTCAGGATCTAAAGGTGAATGTTGCAGAACATGGCATGTAATAATTGCTTACTTATGTGCTGTAAGCATATTGCGCTAGGATTTACTTGGTGTGGCCACAAGGTGGAGCTTCAAGAACTCTAACAAAATTCTGGCAAGGGTTTATTTCATAATCAAACAATCACATTCCTTAGTGTGTTGACACATGCCATATGCAGTGCAGGATGGAAGAGGCTGCATAATTGTATTAATTTAGTCATTCTGACAACAGGAAAGCAAGACACAAAAGAACAGTGATCCATATATGTGAAAGGTACTTGTAGAATCATTGTTCAAAGAAAAAAGACAGAAGGCTGCACACCTAGCACCTAGAAGAGTTCTATGTTTCTACAACAGAAATGCTACAAAATGTGCTGTTAGTTAGGAACTGATATAGATGTGTTGAAAGGAGGTGACTGCACCAGTGGGAGAATGGTGAGAATAAAAGTGGGTTAGCTCTTCCATTTTCAGGTTTTTCATAACGGTATAAAATATTGGGAGACTTGTTTCTTTGCTACTAAAATATTTCAGAAGAACACGGAGGCTATCCCATTTTTCTTTGTCACAGAAGCCCTCCCACTTGGGGGATTACAGTGATTTTCAGGAGCAAGGCTAAATGGGGGAGAGAGAGAAATCCAGAGATTTTTCTGTAGTGCTGATTTATGTAAGCTCTTACTCCATGCTTTAAAAACTTGCAGTGGATGGGCCAGGCAAGAAGAGGTGTCCATGCTTACATAGAATCTGAATTATTTGCGGTGAGATCCATCTGTTTATTATGATGGATGCAGTACGCCAAAGGGTAGGAAGGGTAGTAGAATTAGTGCACAACAATCAGAAATATCTGGGGAAAGGAGCTGTCTTTTTTTACTTGAAGTTGGCCAAAGCATGTGGCTGCCCAGATTGTGTTGGAAGGAGATGTTGATGGAGTCTTTGATGTATCCTTTCCAAACTCAATATTTCTTTGACTCTCAATATTTGGTTCGCTGATGACACCAAACTCTGGGGTAAAGCATCCACACCTGAGGACAGGAGGGTGATCCAGGCTGACCTGGACAGGCTCAGGAAATGGGCGGGTGAGAACCTGATGGTGTTTAACACCAAAAAATGCAAGGTTCTCCACCTTGGGAGGAAAAACCTGCAGCATCCTTATAGGCTCAGCAGTGCTTCTCTGGTTAGCACTATGGATGAAAGGGACTTGGGGGTCATGATTGACCACAAGATGAATATGAGCCTTCAATGTGATGCTGTGGCTAATAACACAAGCAAAACGCTGGCTTGCATCCATAGATGCTTCTCAAGCAAATCCCGGGACATCATTCTCCCCTTGTACTTGGCCTTGGTGAGGCCGCAGCTAGAGTACTGTGTCCAGTTTTGGGCTCCACATTCGAAAAGGACATGGGGAAGCTTGAGAGAGTGCAGAGGAGAGCCACGCGCATGATCAGAGGTCAGGAAAACAGACCTTACGACAACAGGCTGAGAGCCATGGGACTCTTCAGCCTGGAAAAGCACAGGCTCGGGCAATCTGGTGGCCACCTATAAGTTTATCAGGGGTATCTATCAGGATCTGGGGGAACATTTGTTCACCAGAGCGCTCCAAGGGATGACAAGGTTGAATGGCTATAAACTCCTGCAAGACCTTTTCAGGCTGGACATAAGGAAGAATTTCTTCACTGTCTGAGTCCCCAAGGTCTAGAATAGCCTGCCATCGGAGGTGGTTCAAGCACCTACATTGAACACTTTCAAGAGAAATCTGGATGCTCATCTTGCTGGGATCCTGTGACCCCAGCTGACTTCCTGCCCCTTGGGCAGGGCGCTGAACTCAGTGATCTTCCGAGGTCTCTTCCAGTCCTAATGTCTATCAATCTATGAATATGCTTTCTGAGGCTTTTATATGTAAGCCCATTAATTAGGACAGGAAGTAAATTTTTAAATGAGTCCTATAAGAGATGCAGCATCCACATCAGACTTCTTATTTGTCTCAGGTGATTATTAGAGAATGAACACTAATGCTTTAAACTTCTTCCATATGTAAATCCAACAAAACCTTGTGCAGAGTCTGTATTTAAGAACTTTAAAAATGGCATCAAGAAGGAAATAAACATCAAATACATTCAGAAGATTTCAAGCTGAAACACTAAATATGAAAATGTCTTAATTATAAGTAGTTATTACAGTCTGTCTCTACAGTGAAGAGTTAAGGTTTTCTGGAATGCACATATGGGGTATTTCCTGATGGTGCACTTTCTGAATTTCCTCAGTATATAATGCTTGATTTGGCATCTTCTGTAATGTATTTGCCCTAAAATTACTGATATGCAATCAGTGGCAATTTAGTGTAATTATGCCTGGAAATACAGATAGATGTATGTGCAGACTCAGTTGAATTAATCAGACTGAAATCTTGCCAAGTCTAATATTGGTAGTTTAGAAATTTTTGTAAGCAGGGCCTAGCCTTATGCAATATGCACAGAATAGAAATATAGCAGACCCAATATCCCCCCCCTTTCATTTAATTTGTAGCCAATAAACTTAAATCTGCATAAAATTCATGAAAGTCAGATTACAGGCACAAGCAGTTATGGGTTCATTACTCCAAAGCTTTTTTGAAGCTGAGCTTAAAAATACAATTTGCAATTTGATTCAAATTAATTGAGCCAGAACATCTCTTCAAGATGCAGTAAGATGAGACCATGGCAGATGTAGTATGTCATCACAGACCTAGACTGTAGCAGAGGATTTATTGTTAGGACAGTTCTACCTCACAGACTTGCAGAGCTGTAGGTTCCTTGGGCCAGATTCCTAGCTGTTATTAACCACCAGAGATCCACTGAAATGATATTGCCTCCCACCTCCCCCCAGCCAGGAAAGTATATGGCCCCCAGCTTATATTAATGGTTGCAAGCAGTGCAGTTCTACTGTTGTATGTGGAGTCTCAGTGTGAAAATGAGAGTAATTGGAAAGATGGAATGATTCATCTTTCTATTATTTCTTTGCATTTTATGGGGACTGGTCCCTCTGAATTATTCCCTTCACCTGTTTGGACTTATATTTATTTCTCATTTCCAAAACTGAAAAAAATGCCTAAGTGAAGAAGCAATGTTATACACTTTATCACAGATGACAGAATAATTAGCCCGTCACATGCTGATTTCATTTATGATTTTTTAAAATTATGTTATCTTGGATACCTCTAAGATACCAATTATAGCAGTAGACAGCATATTGTAATCTGTACTGTGTATATCTGTACCACAGCCCTGTGAGGTAGGGAAGTCTTCTTATCCTTACCTGTAAAGTGGGTACCAAAAGATACGAATGGTTAAGTGACTTCCCCAATATCACACAAGAAGTCTATCTTAGGGACTGAACCCCTGTCTCAAAAGTTGTAACATCACACAATTGAGATGCCAGTCAATTTTCTAATGTTCTTGCAGCTGGGGCATCGTGCCCTTTTTCTTAGCTTACCACTTTTTTTTAAAATGAGGTAGGAGGGGATGCATCTAATAATCATATCCATTGTCTGAAGCATAGTATATTTGTTATGTTGGGCCAAAATTAAATGAGTGGCATGATAGCTGAACAGCTACTTATTCCTGTAATAACAGTCAGTTTTCTCTTTTCAGTGAGTTGTTTTGTTGAGGGCAAGACAGAAAGCAACTAGGTACAGGTCCTTCTCTTAAAAGCACGACTAATAGACATATACAATTGCTGGGCAAATGGTTGTCACATTTATTAATCATATGGTAGCTGGGGGAGAGGAGGAAGGCAAACTTTGTTTAAACAGCATGTGAGTGCTATATTGAAAAGAAAAACATCCAGCTGTTTCAGATTTAATTGGATCTATGTGGCCAAACTAAAAGGTGTGTGCTCTTGTCTCTCTTGATGGCTTGGTGGCAAGGATATCAGAAAACTGCCCAGCATCAAGCTATTGTGATGTGTCTGGAAAATTCTGAGTGCAATAATATTTGAGTGTGACATTTTCTGCACTGGAATTTGAGGAAGAAAATAAGCTGTTAGGTATTAGCTATTTTAGGAATTTTGACCTTCATAGTACACGCTCTTAGTTCTGCATGATGGGATATTTCAACAAACACATCCGTTCTTGTCAGCAGCATTCATGCACTATATGTTGTTGGATAGTTTATGGAGTTTTCTCCTAACTTGCAACTATCTATTTAAATCCCTGTAGGAAATCTGATAGGACAAGTTACACCCATACTACATGACTGATCTGGGAACAATTTGGAACAGTCAGATCCTGTTTCTGAAAAAAATGTAAAGATTTCAGAATTGTATCAATCCATCATCAGAATTTTCTCCATGTAGCCTGAATACAATGTAAGGACTTGATCCTGCAAGGTCTTACCAGACCAGTGGAAGTGATAAATGCAAAAGTAGTGCAGTATCAGGCCCTGCAATAGTTTTGTATTTTAAGCTACCGGTAGTTATTGTTTATTTGTATTAGAGCAGCAACTGGTGACCCCAGTCAAGGGCAAAACTACCTCTACTCAGCACTCACATGTGCCCAGCCTGCAGAGTCTACAGTTTATGTAGAGAAGACAAAAGATATATTACCCCCATTTTACAGCTGTGGTAACTGAGGTATAGAGAAACTTATAGGAAGGCTTTGGAGAACTGAGAACTCAGATTTCTAGTGTCCCAGAGCAGTCATACATCAGTCACATGCCTGCTCTTCTTCCCTGGATTCAGTTTTTTTTAATCTTTTACTTCCGTAAGATGTTAGACTATAAAAGATCACAGTTTAACACAGAGTCTATAGCTGGGGGCCAGAAGGGAAGTCTGACTTCCTGCACAATGCAGGTCAAAGCACATGTCTCCCCCCACCCCCGGTCATTTCTGCGATAAGCCACAATTTTGGTGA